CTCAACAGCATAGGAATTTTGCCGGTTATCGGAGCGATTATGGCAGTATAGTATCTTCAAGATCACTGTATCCTTCTTTCTTTGGTGAATCCGCCTTCTCTCACACTACTTCCACTTTTTTATGAACTAATCTTTTAGATTCCTGCAAAAAGTTTTTACCGAAGGAGATGTGCGTGTCCAGCAAAAACTTTTGGACTATTTTCTGCAAAAAGATATATTCGCTCGGTTGTGTGACGATATATTTGCCAATTACTTGCTACAGGTAATTGCATCTGTAATTTTATAACTAATTTTTATGCGTTTCTGCATACTTATGCAAATGCAGAGACGCATACTGTAACGGCACATGATGTCTGTGCGTATGTTTGTGTGTATGTTTATTTGTGTCTGTGTGCTATGTGCGTCTGTCCGAGTACTTCAACCCGGCAACTAAGCAAGCTTTTTTGCTGAAAATTAGCCAGTGTTTTCCCTCGACAAGCACTATCCCCGGAGCGTGATGTCAACTTTCAAACACGTCCATGTACAGGCGCATGAATAATAGGATAAGAGTTAAAGCACTGGACTAAGTGCGATTTGCAAGAAAACTTGCTGCAGATAATTTCCCCGAGTGATCTCGATTTCTTCGGACCCTGACTGAATGATCTGAATGTAAAATTTACTAATTTTGTATAAATTTGGACGAGTTGCTTGATATTTATATGGCTCGTGAGAGAGCTGAATCATCGTCAGAACAGTTGTATACGACTTTTGTTCTACCGTTTTTCAGAAACTGGCCTAGCTAAAACTGTTAGAATATCTGCCAAGTTTTATTTCAGCACCTTCTTCAGTAATCTGTGCTGCAGTAGCTGCTGTCCATATTATTTACATGCTTTTTTTCGGCTTGCAATTCATATTTACGCCGCCTAATATGTTTGAAATCACTTCACCCTTTAAGATGCTTTTATTATCAATTGCAACACTTTATATAAACGCATTTTCCAAATATGCATAATAATAGAATCTAACGTCAAAATTTCTGCGTATTCTGAGGAGTGTCCAAAAGAGAAAATTTTCGTACTTACTTATAAAGCAAGAAAAATAACAAAGCATCTGTCGTTATTTTTGCCAGTGGCTTTCAACAGTCATTTTTACAAGGGTGTTGCCTACAAAACGTCACTGGGTTTCAGTGTTTGATGGAAAAAGCGGCAATTCATGAAGAGGTGGCGATTTGCTCGATACTTATGGAAAATGTTGTGGAGCACAGTTGCGGTCGTTACTCATGCCGCATAGTGCAGAAAGTTTTCACCTCCTTCCATCTTAACGCACGCATGGCACTGTTGTCAGCTCTGAAAGGGGCCGAGAAGTGTCTCTCGCTGGATCAGTACGGGATCCATGTTATTCAGGTTTCAACCAGTTTTAGCACTAAAAATTTGGAAAATATAAGCATAGTAAACAGTACGCAAAATTTTCACAAGTACAATAATTCGGAAATTAAATTGCAGAGCTGGAAGAGTCGATTTATTTTTTCTAGCGTTTTTGCACATTTGTGCAAATGCAAAAGCGCATATTGGCAGGAGGCTATCGGTGTGCATACATGTGTATGCGTGTGTTTATTTGCCTGTATGCGTGTGTGCGGGCAGATTTTTGTCATCCATATTCAACTCAGCAACCGCAGACGCTAGGAAGCAGAAATTTTATGAGTATGTTCCCTCCCCAAGTTCGATCCAACATCTCAAAATCTCTTTTTCGTACTCTCAGGCATCACGCATAAAAAACGTGTAAATTCTCTTCCATATTTTGTTTTTTTGCAAGTGAGCGGTTCTAAAATGTTTCGGTACAAGCCTGTGCGGCGCATTTGGACACGCCAAAAATATTTGCAGCGAAAAGCGATTTCGCCAACTAATCAAGCTGGACAGTTGATATTTTGCGAGGATATTCTGTGCCCACGTGCAGTCCAAAAAGTTTCAGCTCAGCTTTAAAGCACGTTCAGTCTTCGCTTGCCCGAATAAAATTTTAGTTCGACGCACTGTCAATTTGGTAATCAGGCTGAGTAGGAAGGTAGTATTTTTGTGAGAGTGTTTGTTTTTCATGCTAAGGTATGAACCTTGCGCACAGATGCATCAAATTTTTAGATTGCAACAGCGCAGTCACCCAATTCAGCGGTCTCTCTGCAAGGAGTAATCATGCAAAAACGCACAATAACACCCGAAAAATTCATGCTCGCCGCTACTGATTTTTTCTTTGTATTTTTCTTTTTTGATTTAATGTAACTGCATGCTGCCGAGAAGGTGTGTACAAACGTGAGCCTGGATATCTGTCTAGTTTTTTGTCTCGGCTGTCAGAGACGTGAGGATGCCTAAAAAATTAAAATTATATTTAGCTATCTACTACTCCTTGTGTGTGAAAATTCATTTAGAAAAACTGGTAGCAATATTCTAATTCGGGAATCAGGAAAGGTGAAAATTTGTGAGCATATTTTCAGCTGTGTCAATTTCTAAACATGTGAAATAGCTTTCATATCCTTACTCTCCACTTAAGTAACATATGAAAATTTAAGTTGCATAATTCTTTAATCAGAAAAGCTGGGAGACTGAAATCACAAAATTGTTTTCTCATCAAACAAAGGTCTCAAAACGTGTAAATTCATCCTTCACACGCTTCACCTGCTAGGTGCAGGAGCATGAAATTTTAAAACAAAACTGTTGGCGTTCTCCTCAATCCGTAACCAAACGAATTTGAAGAAAATCAGCTGCGTCACTGTTTTCAAGCATGTTCATAGCCTGAAACGTATAAACAATTTAAATGGCTGCTTGCATATTACGTTTGAACATGTGAGATCTGAAACTACGAAATTATAGGCGTGCTTCCAAACCAGAAAACAAATCAGCTAGGGATTCAAAATATTCTGAGCATCGCTTACAGCCAAGTTCAAATCTTCGCGTTCAAAATTACCGTTAAATTCCCTATGATTAACATACGGTCAGGTTAAATACGCATTGTAAGACTGCTGGCAATTGAAACAAGCTAGGAACTGGAGTTTTTGCAGACATAATCTGCCGTGCGCCAATCATGAGATCAGTAGCTGTTAGGAACACACTTCGATGCGATTTTATTGAGAAATTCAAAATTTGCTTCATTTTAAAAAACAAACTGTTCAATGCACTAAAAACAATAAGCTGAAAAACTCGAATACTATTCCTTTATACAATTTTCACATGATTACGATAATAATGAAAACTATGAAAACTGCTGCTTGGGAGAAAAAGGCCGGTCAAAAGACAGTTCAACAGTGAAGCAATGTAAGTACCCACTGTGCAAAAAAGCAATTTCGCCCGTGTTACCAGTTGTGCGGATCCACTTATATTCATTTTATTTTAGATTCCTTGATCATAAATTACTTTGATTTTTGTAGAAAGTTTTCATGACTGTTCCATTTAATGGATACAAAGCTATTGTGATTAAATTCATCGAGTCAA